CCGAGCACCAGCCGGAGCGCGACCCGGAGCCGCAGCCAGAGCCCGGACCAGGCCGGGGTCCGGGACCGCAGGGCCGGGCTGCTCGTAGCGGCGGCGACGGAGCCCCCCAGCGGCTGAAGGGCTTCCTCCCAGCTCCTGCCGGTGGCCGGGACTCAGCAAGCCCCCCGAGGCTGGAGAGCGCGGGGATCCCCCACCACCTCCAGGACCCAGAAACCCCCAGGAAGGCGGGGAGGCCCCTCCAGATCCAACACAGAACGACTCCCCAGCCGGAGAAAGCGGAGACTTCCTCCGTATTCAAAAGATAGCGACCTCCCTACGGTACCGCGAAGACTCCCCCTCTTCAGTCTGGGCCCCCCAAGACCTAGAACGCAGTGACCCCCCCGTCCGAGATTGCGGGGACCCCTTCTCAAGATCCTGGTCATTACAACTCCACACCTCAAGACACGAAGACCTAGCTCAGAACACCCCTAGATCAGGGGGTCCTAGATCCCCCCATTCCGGTACACAGAACCCCCAAATCTAGGGACCCGAGGACAGCAAGAGATATCCTTCACCAGCAAGAGGCCTCGTCCCCCCCTCCCCCCCAAAGCTCCAGGACCGGGGCGACTGAGCCCGTCGCGGCGCCCTTCTCATCCTAGCCCATGGTCGTGGCGCCCTGAGCCCCCCGGGCCGGGCTGACGAAAAGCGACACGGCGCCCAGGCCTCCTGCCGCGGCGTCCCCGCGGCCCCAGCCCAGGTAAGCCGGGCCCAGGTGAGGGGCAGCAGGTAAGTGGCCGCCGAGGTCCCTAGCCCTGTAGGTGGGGAAGGAAGTATTGGGTGCGCATTGCCCCCTCCCCAGCGTCGCCATGGAGCCGAGGCTGAAGGACGTCTCTTTGTGTCTCGCTTGGAGGAGCCGCCCCCTCCTCCTCTCCCTTCCCCCACCCCACACCCTAGCCCTGGGGTTTGGGCGCAGCTCCCTGGCCCCAGGGGGAAATGGTGGCAGAGCTCCTTTCGCCACAGAGAGAGGGGAAGAGGGTGGAGAGTCCTCCCCCAAAACTGGGAGCCTGGAGCTGTTGGATCCTCCGTCCTTGGAGTATATATACCCTTCCCCCGAGGCCAGGCTGAGTTCTCAAGTGAAGTTCCCCCTGGGAGGAGAAGACTTGGGGGTGTCCACAGGTGAGGGGGCCTGCAGTGTGTGGCTGTAGGGTGATGGCCGGGGCTTTGGGTGTGTGTCTTTGTCTGTGCGAGGGCAGGGAAGGAGTGTGTTTGAGAGAATGGATGGGAATCCCTTATTTTCTCTGTGACTCTTGGCCCCTCCCACCCCCCAGCCCAGGTCACAGTAGGAGAATTCACCCAGGCCATACTTTGTGCTCCTGGCAGGACAGCGAGGGGGCAAGCCCTTAACAAAGAGAGGTGCTGGTTTCTGGGGAGGGGAGGTAGTCTGGATGCAGAAGCGAGGTCAGGTCAGGGCACCTTTCTGTCCCCATGTGCCCCAAGGGCAAGGCCTTCCCCTCTCCTCCCGATCTCCAGAACACCCGGGGCCAAACCTCCGGTTGGGTCAGTGTGTTCTGGACAACCAAGGGAGCATTCTAGGTTCTCTCTCTAGCTTTCCAGGCGGTATACAAAGCAGTACCCTAGCCTGGCCCACAGTGAGGTCCTGAATCCCAGGCCCTACAGCTCCTGGGAAGATGAGAAGCCCAGAGGATGTTGCACCCTGAAATTCTGGATCAGAGATCCTGAGAAGGGTCTGGACCATGCCGAGGGAACACACTCTGGGCTGCTGGGTTTCCCCCCAGTCTCTTCTCTCTGACCCCTCTACAGGCAAGCAGTGGTGCTGAGGAAGCCAGGAATCTGGGCACAGGTGGCCCCACCAGGAGTTCCTTTGTTTATTTGTTCATTCAGCAAACCTTTAGCTAGTGTCTGTGATGTACCAGGAGTCAAGGTCCTGTTTCCCACTTCATCCCGATCTGTCCTGTTCCTGCATCCCTGGGCTGTTCTCGATTTGCCCAGGCCATGCTTGGTTGGTCCGGTTGAGGTGAGCCAGCTTAGGCCCAGCTGACCAGTTCTGACCCCACACCTGAGGCACCTGATCCCCATCCTGCTGCAGACTTGGGGGCCCTGAGCCTGGGCAGCCAATTCCTCTGCTCCCCCCTTCCCACCCCCAAGTGCCCCCACCCCACCTGCTGGTGGCATTGACCCAAGGGGGAGGATGTGACCAGTGGGAGAAGAGGTTGGGGGCGTTCCAGGCCAGACCTCTGGCAGCCCCTTCTGCAAATTCAAGGATGGTCGAGGCAGCCCCGCTCAGCACAGACTGTGGGAGAGCCAGCTGCCCTGAAGACTGGGTGACCTTGGGCAAGCGTGTGGCATCTCCTGGAGAGGACAGAATGAGCCACTCTTTGCGGCCGCGGGTGGATGTGGATTGCAGTTGGGCGGCGAGAAGCGTCCAGGTGTGTCCTCTCCATCTCTGGAGGAGTTCATTTTCCCCGGTGGGTTCCCCAGAGCCCAGGGCCTTGTTCTTCAACCCCCAGGCAGGGGAGTGGAGTGAGAGGCTAAAGAGCAGAGATCTGAGTCACTGTGACTAGGGAGGACCATCAAGAGGCCAGAGGGGGACAGAGAGAAAGACCTCCCTTCTCACTGACCTCCAGTGGCTCTCTACTGAGTCTGGAATAAAGCACAAAGCTCTTTGCAGTATGGCCCCAAACCATCTCCCAAGTGTCATCTCCCGCTCCTCACCCCCCATTCTCTACTTCTGGCTCTTCTCCTCCACGTCCCCTAACTCCCTCCCTCCATCAGGTGCTGGTCTCCCGACCTCAAAAGCTCCACGACAGGATGGCTCAGGAGCAGCACTCTGCCTCCACCTCCCCTTTTGATCTGACCTGGGCTGGCACAGAGTGCAGAGCTGACCTGGAGTGGTGGATGGGTTCGTGGCTTGGAGACGGTGGCACGTGTCTACATGTGCTCTGAGAGTTTGTCTCCACATCCAGACCCTGAGCTCCAGGAGAAGACCAGGTCTGTCTCGTCCATGCTGCCTGGGCTTTGTCTACCCAGAGCCTGGCATATTGTACAGCACATGTAACAATACAGCTTCTAGACGCATTTTGTTGATCCAAACAGTGTTTTTCTCATGTTTGCATTTGTTGCCAGTGCTAAAAATATATACCGTTTTACATACAAATATTGATTTTTGGATCCTCTTGAAAAATCAGATGATGTGGCCACCCCAGGCCAGAGCCGGAGAATGCCCACCTTCTTTAGACAGGTCTCCAGCTCACCTCCCTCGGCTTCCAGCTCACTCCAGGCCCCACCTGGCCTGTTCACTCATTTACGTGACCTGCAGGCCCCTCCTATAGGCATCTGGCTTTGCAGGCAGAGGGTGGAGACCACGAAATGTTTGCTCAGTGGGTAACCTTCGGCTGTTTGTTTTTAGTGCACATGGGCGTTCCCTGTCTCCCCCAGGGCCAAGTTAGGACACGCACGGGGCAGCATCCCTTGGGGGTCTTTAGGGTGAGGTGGTGAAGTAAGCCTGAATTCCTCCAGCCAGAGCATCTCTAGCCTAGTCCCACTTCTCACTCTCCCCCCGTCTTGTGCCCCCTCCCCTGTGCTAGAAGGATTCAGACACTGAAAACCTGTTTTAACTGTCCCATTTGCCCAGGAGCAAAAGTCCAAGTTTCTAGGCCCAGGTCTCGCTGAGGACTCTTGGGGAAGGACTGTTCTCTGGACCTCGGTTTACCTACGTCAGAGAGGACTTGGACTAGAGGTTCCCTCAGCTTGTTCCTCCTTGTTCGAACTTTCTAGGACTGAGTCCACGCTGCTCTGAGTTTTGATCAAGCAGGAGAGGTGGGGGCCTAGACGCAGAGGTCACTCAAAAATATTGACATTCCCTAAACATTAATGAAACCAATAGGTGTTGCCAAGGAGCTGCTGGGCCCCAGCCACTGGGCATGGCCCTGGAAGGGAGGGTGCCGCCTTCCTGGGTGAAGGTCCACAAGCAGCCCGAGGTCAAAGGAGACAGCAGAGCCTCATGGTTGAGAGCACAGGCTCTGGACTTCGCCTGAGTTTGAATCTCGCTTAGCTGATGTGTGACCTTGCACAAGTCAGTCAACCTCTCTGAGCTTCACTTTACTTATTTGGAAAACAAGGATAACACCTACGTCGGTCGTCAGGGGATTCAATGAGCTAAAGCATGAAAAGGGCCTAGGACAGGGTCTGGCATGTGAAAAGTGCTCGATAACTGTTGGCTCTTGTTAAGAGGGGCATTGGTGAATGGGTGGCTAAGCTTTGGTGGTAATGCCTCCTTGGTTTTCCTATAGCCAGTCTGGAGGGCCACAGGGCTTCTGCTGTCCTGTGAAAGGGGAAGTGGGTGCCTGAGACGCAGTACTGTGTGGTGTGTAAGAGCTCGGAGCATGCCCCTGCTGTGGATGGGGGTGGGGTGGGATTCAAGCCTGAGGGTCTGTGAGGGCCCTTCCAGAACCCCATCCTGAAGGGCAGGGTCTAGGCCTGGCCGTAGTTCTGTAGTTGAGGCCCTCTTCCTTCCCAGCTCTCCTTTCTAGATGAGGCACCTCAGGCTTCTGCTGGAGGGAGTCCCCGAGGCTTCTGCCCCAGGCGCATGGGCCTGAGGCCAGAGTCAGGACCAGCGTCTCCAACAGCCCCACTCCCTCCACTCCTCCCCTGGTCCCTTCGGGGTCTCAAGAAGCAGTGGCAGTTAGGCCTGGAGCTGCCAGTTAAAGCCCTCCCCTCTCCTGTGCACTTCCCAGCCCCCCATCCCCCCCACCCCCAGTAGCTTGGCCACAGTCTGGAGAGGGGCAGGTCCAGACTTCAGCTCAGCCTCCACTCAGGGAGCCATGTAATATCAGGGTTGGAAGGAACAGTGGAACATTCTTCCATGTCAAGTGCTCCATGCCGAGCACTGGGCATCACTTTCTCATTTGGCGCTGAGAACAGCACCACTTAACCCCAGAGCCGAGATCTGAGTCCAGCTCTGGGAGCCACCAAAGGTTTCTGTGAAACGTGCATCAAACTGCCTGGGTTCGATCCCTCCTCCCCCATTCACTAGCTGCATAACCTTGGACAGGGCAGTTGTCCTGTGGGACTCAGTTTCTTCTGCTGTAGAATGGGGCTGATAACCGCTCCTACCTCCTAGGGTTGTGCTGAGGACCAGATGAACCCACTACAGAGAAAGCACTTGTAGCAGTGCCTACTGAAGTGGCTGCTCTGCTTACTTCTGCCCCCCCCTGCCGGGTATGCAGATAAGCTGGTCCAGGCCAGGGGAGCCACTGTGACTGCGCCAGCTGTCCTTCCCTGTGACGGTAGCCAGTCCCGGGAAAGGCAGAGAATGTTCCAGCTGCTTCTAGGTGTTGGGATGGCCCTGAGGGGCAAGGGCAGGGGCTGGAGAGGACAGAGCTGCCTCATCCTTCTCCAGGTCAGGCCCCCGCAAGAGGCTACACAAATCCCCGCCCCCAGGACAGCTCCACCGGTCTGTTGGGCCCCCCACCATAGCAGGAAGTCTTCCCAGTCTCTCAAGTCAGGGCCCATGGGCCTGTAGGGATATCCTCCCATCCTGAGAGTTCATGTGCCTGCCAGCCCTGACCCCAGGTGTCTCCAGAAGGGGCAGTGGGGCCCGCAGTAAATATGGATTAGTGGTAAAAAATACAACCTTCTCGACCCCACTGTGTGACTTTGGGCAAAGTGCTTAAGCTCTCTGTGCCTCAGATCCCTCATCTACAAAAAGGTAGATGGTACTAGTACCTGCCTTGTAGG